AAAGAAAAAGGAGTAGAAGAAGAAAAATAGAAAAGATTTGGCGTATTGTGCGCACTAATGCAATGAGATACGGGCCAGGAATAAGGAGAATTGACGTGGCCAAGACAGGTCAATAATTGTACCGACCGAGAGGAAACATGCAGTTAGGTATGTTTTGAAATTTTAATTAAAATATTGACTAGAATTACTAGAATGTTCTGACTCCATCTTTCATGTGTGGATGAGGGTATGACGAGACGGTAAAGAAAGAGAAATGGTGTTTAAAACCCATTCAGACAAACCCCCTTGCATAATTTACAATGAAAACAATAAGGCGATTCCTCGGTTGTGAGGAACAGACTATTAGTTGTACGGCGTGAAACTTTCACCGGATGCCTGACCCCAATCTCGCCTAAATCGAGGAGTGACGCGTCTCTACTTTTTTGTCTCCGGTAACCTGCCCCTCTTCCCCAATATTGAATCTGAATGATAATACCCATGTGAAAACAACTTTTTTTCCTTTTCTTTCTTTTTCAAAGTTTCTTCTTTTACAGAACCTTTGCAACTTAAGTAAATAATAATGTGCCCTTTGAGTACGAGAAAAAGGGAAAGCAAAGACCATTTGGGCAGAAAGGTTTGATAATGCCGTGATAAAAGAGAAAGGTCTCAACGCAGTAAAAAGAGACTCATTAAAAATCTTAAATCAATTTAAAAGTTGCGGCAGACATTGAGAAAGTATGACCTCTTCCTGAGATTGAAAAGACAAAAGTAATTTATTTTTAGTTATAGTAAGTTCTAGAGATTGATGGAGAAAGTTGAGAGTACACAGACACAGCTTGTGAATGGATGAATAGAAGATGTAAACCATGTGACCATTTACTTTGTCCTAAGCATTTTTTTCTACCACACTCATTACTACTATTAATGCCCAATTGACAGAGGGATTCAAAGTTGTTAGACCACCTGAATCATGGCTAAGATTTAAAAGAACAACTATTGTCATTATTCATGTAATGTGTCACAATACGATGGAATCAGGTGTTCATCCAGTTTTGGGCACCTATAGAATTATAGTGGTATCATCTTAAAGCTTATTCAGTTGCCTTGTTCTCAATTTAAAAATTGAAATATTTATATATAAATCTTGCATGAAGTGGAGACATTTGCGATCGAAGAGGGTAGGTTGCATGATGTAAAATTAGCAAGAAAATGGCTGTCAAATTTGATTTTTTCCATATCTTTAAAGTGTCTTTGGCAATTGAAAATTTACATTTTTGGTGCCTGCAGGCTCCCTTTTTTCCAGCAAAATCCACAATGACGTGTATTTTCAAATGTAAAGGTGTTGAGCCAAAACACCAAAATTGTAATAAAGATTGTCAAATCGGCAGAAAAAAGCAAAAATCTTTGATTTCATTATTTTGACGAGTGCCAGATTCCATGTCGAGACAGATTCTATACCACTGGGTATCCACTCATTGATCCTGCCTTTATATATGAGCATCATGGTGAAATCAGGCGTTTGTCAAAATAATGAAATCGAGGAACCAGCTTTTTTCTGCTGGTGTGGCAATCTTTATCAAATTTTCTATTTTTGGCTCAACATCTTTTCTGTCCATTTAAAAACAAATTTGTGTGTGTATTTTACTGAAAAATGTTGATTACAGGGACAAATACTGTAAATTTTCAGTTTTCAAAGATTCTCAAGCTATGGAGGTCACCAAACTTTGGCCGCCATTTTCTCGATAATTTTACCTATGAATCTGGTGACCCACACCCCCTTCAATCGCAAATATCTCGACTTCTATTCAAGATAGAAGTTTAATTTTTCATTCAAAGCAAGGCAAATGAACAGGCCTTAAGATGATATCAACAACTCCATATGCCCAAAAATTGACAAGCACCAGTCTCCACCGCGTTATGACACATAATATACAGACTTCAACATATAAGTTAAGAACCACTTTGACAGACAGCCCTGATTTTTTAAAAATCCGAAAAAAAAAGACAGCAAGGAATGTTTCAAAATTGTTTGCTCTGAAAGTGTTAATGGGTTACCAATGTGTAATGCAAAACTTTCAAAATCACCACGGGCAGCACGGAAATCCTTGGGGAATTGAAGCCAAATTTGCTGGTTTTTATCGACTTATGTGCCACACCACGGACGTTCCTCAGTAAAAATTTCTGATGCATGTCATAAAGGGACGTTTGCTCTCGAACTGTGCTCACTTTGGTGGCAATAAAAGCCGCCGTTTGCGCAAAATCCAGTATCTCATCAGCATGCCACAAAGACGAAAGCTGAGAGACTTTGGTCGCAAAAGAGCTATGCCATGGTGCAGGATGGAGTTGGAGCCCGAGAAGTTGCCAGAAGGCTTGCAGTGCCACAGTCTGTCATTGTCTGAGGCCAGCGCCATCAAGACACTGAATCAGTCCAAGAACGCCCACGGGCAGGTCGACCCAAGAAGACTACTCAGAGTGTTTGCAAGTGGTCCTTAACTTACTTGAAGTCTGTATAATATGTGTCACGACGTGGGGGAATCAGGTGCTTGTCAATTTTTGGGCATGTGGAGTTATTGGTATCACCTAAAAGCTTATTTATTTGCCTTGCTTTCAGTGAAAAAAGTACCCACCTATCTTGAATAAAAGTCAAGATATTTACAATTGAAAGAGGAGAGGTCACCTGTTTTCAGCGGTGAAGTTAGCAAGAAACTGCCTACCGAAGTTTGGTAACTTCAATAGCTAGAGAGTCCTTGAAAACAAAAAAATGACATATTAATGATATTTCGTGCCTTTAATCAACATTTTCCAGTAAAATTCACAAGGTAATGTTTTTATTATATGGACATAAATGGGATTGAGCCAAAAAACAAAAATTCGATAAAAATAGCCAACCTGGCAGGAAAATGCCTCTTTCTCCAGTTTCGTTATTTTGACGAGAGACTGATTTCACAACGATGCCTCACATATTTGTTCCGCACTAATTACCGATCGGCGCAGATTGCGCTGTGTGTTTTTACGATCATATAATGGTGTGACAATCTTAAAATGGCGCTGTGCATTTTAACGATCATTTAACTGCGTGGCAATCTGAAGATTGCGTTAATGTTTTATAGTTTTTAAATATTTCTAAAAAATTCACTTCCTCCTTTATTCTTTTACATACATCAAGGAACATTCACATATATTTTATAAAGAAAATATGAATGATACAATGCCAGGTATCAAACTCAAAGTTCACAAAGTACATTTGATTTATTTACAGGTGTATCTAATATCCTATTTTTGCTCCGGGTTTCAGGCGACTAAACTTGAAATGGTACCACATCATGCAAGATTCGTATTCGATCATGATTGTTCCGTCGTCTGTTCCTCAACAATGGCAGAGGAAGTCAACTTCGTACTAATTGTGAACTTTGAGTTTGATACCTCTGACATTGTATCATTCTTGTGAGTTTTTAGTTTCACATAATAATTCTAATTTTAATTTTAATATTTTTACACTATTGAAAATATATAATGTGAATGCTCCTTGATATGATTATTAGATCTAGATCTAGTAATTAAGAATAAAGATGGAAGGGAATAAAAAAAAAATTTTTGTGAGAATTATTTTTAAAATATGAAATATTTAAAAACCAATCTTCAAATTGCCGTGCAATTAAACCATCATTAAAATGCGCTGCCGATTGGTAACTAGCGCGGAACATTTCTCATCAAAAGTTGACAAAGAAACATGTGACAGGCCTCCAAGAGTCAAATTGTAGGTACATGAACCAGGTGGTATTATAAAATATGAATTCGTGAAACAATAATTATAACTTTAAAAGTCACAAGGGTGCTGTTGAAATTCAAATTACTGGAGAGCCGAAGGCTGCCCAGACCCACCAGGGAAAAAAAATCTTGAATAAATGTGTAGGCTGAGTATTTTCCAAATGAAGTGACTATTCGAACTAAAGTCTGATTGGACAAAAATTATTATAACATTAATAATTGGATTAAGACTCTCAGACTCAAATCTGCTCGATTGACAAGAAAAAAAAGGTCTCACAAGAAAAGGAAAGTCACGAGAAGGCTGCCACTCTTGCAGATCTAAGAAAAATTTATGTACTGGATCTAAAGTCTAAAAACTGGGCTGCTGAAAGCCGCGGAAATTAAACAAGACGCGATCAAACTAACTCGATTCTGTCAGTGTGTGTCCCACTGAGGGGGGTGCACCACGAAGGGGGTCGTGACTCTAGATCTAGAATCTAGATTCTAGGCTACTTACTTTTTTGGCAGGACCTTGTGCAGTAGTTCTTTGATCAGCCAACCTTGTGTATGGTAAGTGACAATAGCAACATAGAGACCCTTGTGTGATGCAGTCTCGAGTAAATCTTTCATACAAGGTCGCACATGTGGCACAAGCTTATCCGTGCTCTCTTCCCACATGCCTCCCGAGTGAATATCAATAAGAGTTTTATCAAAGTCTAAAGCAAGCAACTTAATTCCTTTCTTGTTCAAAGCAACAACAAATGAATCGAGTTTAGCTCTCACTTGCTTACTGGGTTTTGCAAATGCAGTAGCCATATTTCGGGAAACACAGAGACAAACACAACACATGAAGATCGACCGTTCTAAGAGCAAAGGACTACAAGTAAATGTTAGATCTATGACAGACTTTTGTGCCCACTCAAATAATTACACTTGAGTCCTTGGCTCAATATTTACATCATGCTCAGAACCAAAACAAGACGACAGGAAAGAAAATTTGTTGCATTCAATAGAGTCGCCTCCCTTGAATAGCTATCTCTTTCGGCCAAAACCCATTTGGTGGTAACCAATGCCATTTGTACAACTTCTAGAAAAAAATATTAAAAATTTTAAAATGAGAACTTATTCATGTACTATCGTAAAAAGAGTATACTGTAAAAATATATGTTGCTTCCGTTACAAGGGACTGAAAGTCGCCTCAGGAGTTGTTCTCTTCAAAATAAACAAATGATTATTAGGCCTATTGTTGTTAGGCCTAGTGGAACCTGGCCATTGTAATATCCCTCAGTTACTTCGGTTATTTCCCTTGATCGACAGCGACGATTGACTACAAAATCCAAGATGGCGCGTGCATCCGAGTTAGAATGGGCTCCTGAGTCCTTGTATAATACTGCAATCTCTGCAGTTGTGTCGCGTTTTTCTGAGTACAGACATGAGTTAAAGAATTTGACAGACGATGTGATATTTGATGTATATTACAAGGTAAACTGTGTTGAAGAAAATATCTTTGAAAATGTCCTTTCGGTCTGGTGTTTTCCTCGGAGTATCGGGATCAGATTCACGACTCGTTCTTGAGTCTAACTGCCTTTTGTTGTGATTATGATGTGGATCTTGTCAGGGTCGAGACTCAATCTAAGTTATAACTTTGGACACACGTTAAATTGTTCTTGCTTTTCTTTTGTAGTGCTGGCATGAAAATGATAGTGTTGAGTGTTGGCCTGTCTTTGGTCCACTTTGTCTTTGGTGTCTTTTTCGGAGGATCAACATCAAACACCGCTTTTGGTGGTGGAAACTCTGATACAACGTAGAATAGGCCTAATCTAGATCTAGGTATCTAGATTCTAGATCTAGATCTAGATCTAGATCTAGAATATAGATTTTTGTAGTTTCGTTCTTTAAAGTCAAGAGTAGGGGGGTTTGAGGGGGTTTGCCCCCCTGGCCTAATGGAGGTGGGGGGGGGGGGTCAGGGGGGCATGCTCTCTCTCTCTCTCTCTCTCCCTCCCTCTCTCTCTCTCTCTCTCTCTCTCTCTCTCTCTCTCTCTCTCTCTCTCTCTCTCTCTCTCTCTCCCCCTCTCTCTCCCCTTCTCTCCCCCTCCCTCTCCCTGTAGATCTAGATTAGATCTAGATCTAGACCTGCCAGCGGAGCAACGTTATTGAGGTTAATTTTTACTTTTTGCTGTACTAGATTTAGAATCTAGAGATCTAGATTAGAAGGTCTAGATCTAGACACCTAGATTCTAATGAAGGCCAACAATCTCGCTTTTATTATATACGCAGTGGCTACGTTCACGGCTCCGTGAACGCAGTCTGCAGGCTACGTTCACTGCGCCCTGAATGCAGTCTGCAGGCTACGTTCACGGCGCCCTGAATGCATTTTGCAGTCTCTGTTGAGGCTACGTTAACGGCATTTATAATTTATTAAGCTTCGTTCTTGGGGAGCGTCCACTGCCGGTTTAAGTCATCCGGTTAGTCAGTCAGAGACGTATATTTTTGCCTGCTTCAAGTGTTCCATCCCATGAGATTAAGGAAAACGAAGGACCCTTACCGAATTAGGCGAATTAAAGTCGGGATGTGGGATATGGAAAATTGGATACGATATAATGGGAAACAGGTGAGAGATGGGAAACAGAAGGGATTTAGAAGCTCGGACTGGTCATAAAATGTGTTAGTGTAGGCCTACAATACGGAGTGCTTCAAGGCCCACAGGGGCATATAAAATTTCCCCTAGAACATTTATTTGCCCACAAAATTGCGAGTTATCTCCCCTGTGTTTGGCGCCGCCCGCCCCCCTCCCCCCCCCCGCAATCCACAATGACAATTTTAAATGAAAATGCAACAGCAAAATCCCCTTTAAATATCAGAGAAATTATTTTATATTATAATTATACACTTCTCTAAGGCTTTAAAAGTTAATATTATATTTTACACCTGAAAGTAAGTCTATTTTTACTATAATATTAAGGAAGTATAGTATAGATCTAGATCTTGAATTACTCCCAAACCAACAAGATCCCAAAAGATAACAAAAACTCATTTGTGTTAAGGATAAAGAATGCTTATAATAGCCGTATTTATTATTTCTTATTTAATCTTAATAATCAAAAACTATTAAAGCTAGAGAAAGAACGAAAAGTCCTCTCATCTTCAAAAATAGCTCAACAAATTAGTCTATCAATCACAATTTTAAATTGAGAATGTGTTTAGTTTTCTAATCTAATGCTAAAAATAAAAAGATGAACAATAGCTAAGAACTTAGAGAACAAGTTGGGACAATACCACATGAAATACTTTGAAAAACAATGCATTAAATGGCCCATGTGGGCCAATAAGAGCAGCCCCTACAAAAATGATTCTATTGCACCGGGTCAGCCTGGGAACCGACGCAGAGAGAAAATGACGGGAATCAATTATTCTTAAGAAGTGACTATTTCTCCGAACGTTCGGAGAAATAGTGCCGATCTTTATTTCTCCGAGCGGTTTCCGGCTTCCGGTCTCGTGATTTTTTGGCTATTTGCAAGAGTTCGGCGCCAACTTTCATTCTGCCATTCTGCGAGGTCTGGGAAGGAGCAAATATTTGGGTCTAGGAGATCTATTTCAATTTTCAAAAGCTTGTCTAGAGATTTTTAGATGAGTCTAAAAACGTAAAAAAGAAAGGTTTCACAACAGAATGAAATCAAAATTAGAACAGCCCATAAACAATCACAAAAATTAACAAATAAGGGGCTGTTCAAATACAATTGTACACCTGGAAAAGGGTGGGGGGGGGGGGGGGTTTTTGGCTCTTGTAAGAAAAAATTTAAGAAGGGGGGGGGGGGGGGGGGTCCTTGAACCAATGTAATTAAATATTACACTTTTGTGCGGTGAAAAAAATAAGGGGAAAAAAGTGGCCTCGGTCAAGAAAGGCTGCATGGTGTGCAGGGGCCACAAGGAAAATGGAAAATATTTTCGCAGTATTGCAGCATTGAAAAGGCACAGGGCTTTACACAGGAAGACATGGAGGTGGAGGAAGAAGAGGAGACAGAGCAGAAAGTTGGAACAGGACCCATATTTGGAAGACAGCTCAGCAGATGCCCCTGTTTTAAAAAATATATTTAACATAATGATGAACACTGCCTTTGTTGGTGATAACTAGCTCTAATTTCACTTTTTGTTTTAAGTATTATAATGATCAGTAATAACATACAGTGGAATCCTGATAAAGTCAACTCTTGCTTGCAGTCAACACCTCACTGTGGTCCCGTTTCTTACCTTGTTTGTTTAAGTAATTGTGTTTCTGATACATGTACAGTCAACCGCTTGAGTGTTAACCTTGCGTAAAGTCAACGATTTGGGGCTAAATCCCAAGATGAATTCATTTAAGAATAGATATTTAGGTCCAGAGCTAGTGGTGTACACACCTCCAATTACTTTGGCCACTCATTATCTCTTACATTTTGGTGACAACTTCAGAATTATACTCACTGAAATTGGGCTAACATCTTGTTACCAGGTACTTTGTAATTTTGTAGCTGTCATCTTCAATTTTCAATGGTGAGTAAGTACAATGGATAAAGTCAAGCATGCTCAAAGTCAACACTTTTATTCAGTTCTGAATTCCACTGTAATTTTTTTGTATTAGTAATTGAGGCGTTTTTTAAATTGACATGAGTCTAAATTTTTTCCTTATTAGTAAGAAAGAGTTTATGCAATATTTTTCTTTTTATTATTTTTTTTATTAATACTATCTTCAAATGCCATTGTTGATTTTTTTAAAAATGCAAAATTTGTATGTATATATAGTCTTCCTCAAGGAATTTTTTTAATGCTCTCACTTTTCACATTTCTGTGTTTTTTGTGATGGCATTTGTGGCACTGGCTTTGATGTCTGCAACCATTTTTTTTTCAACAGTTATATGATAAAAATGGGCTTGTTGACCTTGGAAATGAATTTCGAGACCTGGATGTGTTTTCAAGGGTTCTCAAAGTCAACAACAAGCGGTGAGTTTTAAAATAAATCTGTTTGTTCTTTGATATTAACTCTGGCACAATCTTAACATAAGCTCAACTGAGTCTTCATTTTTGTTGTGGTGGGGCCCTGATATCTGAATGAGAAAATCCTCTTTATGTAGTGAAAGAGATTATTTTTAAAAAGCAAATACTGTAATAAAATTTGTCATAGAGTTTTATTCCTGATACTGTCGTCTTTAATTACAATATTCCCCCCCCCCCCCTTTTTTTCTGAATAAATGATGATGTGCATCGTCTTTGAAAGATCTGTTGATTTTAATTTCAGTTTTTGTTCTGTTGTTTTTTTTCTCCAGGGTTCTGCTGCACAGATGTTTCCAAGCCATAATGGACACAGACGTTAGTTTGTCTCGTATTTTAGCCAATGAGTTCTGCTGGAGGTTGACATCTGAAGTTCAAGCTGATGAAACAGCAAAGGGAAAAATGCTGCAATTTGGCTTCTCTTTAGGTAAGAGCTTCCTGGTTATGATATCCAGTAGTCATGTTTTGTTATTGAAAGTTTCCACCTCAGAGCAATTATCTATACCCTTGATTTTAATTTCCCATGTGTGGTGAATAAAAATAACTGTAATGATTATGATAAATGTTCATGATTGTAGAATTGCCTCTTACAGATTCACATTTTGGTCTTGAGCCATGTGTTGCTTTTTCTCACCTTAGTGGTCAGGAATGTGTAAGACTATACCAACCAGACTGACTATTAATTTGGTTTTGGGAAATTGATTTGTTAATTGTATCATAATTTGCAGTCAGATGTTTTGCGATTTTGGGATGGGTGTTACTGGTAGTATCTTCTAGATGAGCAATGATGTATTATATATTCCTCCTTGAATTTTTTTTGGGGGGGAAGAGGGGGGCGGGTAGGCCTTACCATATAACTGATTTTTTAATTTTTAAAAAAATATTAGGGAAACTTATGTACTTTATTCTATTTGTTGTCAATTTCTTTTTCATTACATTCTATCCAGGTTCATTCCTTTGTGAAGCAGGCTGGTTTGCAGACAGTATAACGATATACACCAAGTGTTTGAAGGCTTGCATCAATGATGAAAGTACTCCTAATAAATACAGGGCAATGGAGTTTGCTGTGAGGTATGCTGTTGTTACTACTTTAGTCACTAGCTCGCCATGTCATTCTTTGCTCTTTGCTACGGGCTTGCCTTCTGTCCTCTTTTGTGAGCTGCTGTAGATTTACAATTTTCCATCAAGGTGAGGGAGTTGATTAAAAGTTATGCTCTTAGTTTGGCAAACTAGCAGTGCCAATCGGGTTTCCGTGCGCAACGGAATTTTGGTCCCTGTTTGCAGATGAATTTTTGGATCGGGTAGGAACGCAAATGACTAATTTTCTCAAACTTGGTCTGCTCTACTTCTGGGCCAGTGTGAATGAAACTTGGCAACTAATCAGAAAATAGGGCAAATTATGACATGTGGACGTTGAAGTTTGTACCCTTAAATTAACCTATACTTTTGGTGTCAGGAACACTTTCGTATCGGGTATACCGAAAACTATAATGAGCTTGATTTTCAACGTTGAGAAGGTGAGAGATCTATCTTTCCTCTATAGTGTCCTCAAATTTGAACATTCTGTGTCTAGTAGTTGTTTAGACCTGATCATAAATGCACGACTACCCCCTGTCCAAAGCAGCTTCGCACAGAGACCGGCCATTTTCCCCTCACTCCCTTTCAAATGTATGTGACCTATAAATACCCGCATACTCTTCCGAGCCTGTTCATTGGTCATTTGAAATAGGGCAGTGGCGGGTGCGCGTAACAGGTTGTTTTTACTCTCTGTTCCTCTGTTACCCTGTAACATCGCTATGGGGGTATTCCTAGGCGAGCTTATCTCGCCTTGGGGTGATCGCGTCTCAACTTGAAAAATGGTTTTTTAATTTTACGGCATGCTAGATTGAATTAAATTATATTTTAAGGTTGACATGGTCTAAAATCATCAAAGACAGCTTTGCCATTATTTAGTCACGCTGGCAACATATTCTTAAAGATCCCTTGTTGTGATGCGATGCTGTAAATAAAATGCTCTTATCCCGACTCTCTTTTGGTTGGAAGCACTGGTTGGATTTTTTATTGGCTGGAACTTGGAACGCAACTTTCTAAAGCATCTATGCCGAATCTAGTAGTTGACTCACACACGTTATTTCAACTAAAATCGATCGTTGTTCTGCCGTTGCTTTAAAAGCAAGTTTCGTCTGAGTTCTGGTTAGCCGGGCCCATCATCAAGACCTGTCAGTGGAGCTTTCAAACGCTCATTCGCATCACGTGACATGGCCTCGTACATGTGAGTAGCGCGTGTGTCAGGGACCGTCAGCTGTCGGGGTCAACAAAGTTCATTCGCACCGGTCGCATTGGTCGAGGTGTTTTTCGGGACTTAGCCAGTGTGGACGGCCGGGGGGAGGGGTATTGTTTTGACAGTTGGGCTTAAAGTGCCGTGCCGTGATACATGTACTGATTGAGGAGAAAGGAATTTTTTAAAAAAGAAATAAATGAACAACCTTGGCGCGATCTTTTTTTTTCGGGGGGGGGGGGGTGCCTTGAGTGTATATGCAATAGAAGTCAAACGCTGTTACTCTAACAAAAAAACGGGCTTTTTGCAAGCAAAAAAACGTGCTTTTTGCAAGGATGATTACAGTTATGTGTCAGCTATTTTCAAGACTACGAGAGTTTCAGCTTTACTGCAACCTGTGCTCCCCCGGTCTATCCAACTCCGACTCGAGTAATGCTGTCTTTCAGTTTTCCCTCTATTTAGAGGCCCAAACGTGAACTTATTCCTGCAAAAGTTTTCTCTTGCATACTTGCCTCATAAAAGGGAACCAGGAGCCCCCCCCCCCCCCCCCCCCCCCCCCCATCCCCAATACCCCTAATGACTGATTTGCTGTTGATCCCGATTTTTTTCACCAGATCCTGATTTTTTTACTCATAGAGTGGCAGGTCTGCATAACTTTTTTTTAATGAACCGATTCTTAAAATTCAGAAAGCATAATTCTTAGAATTGAAAATTCTTTCTTAGGTACCAAATAAAAAAGGGGTAAAGCGAAAAACTAAACTGTCATTGGCTTGCTAGGCAAACTGTTTTTTACACTTTGTTTTTCATTTTTGTTGCATTACCTACATAGTTTTAAAGGATGCAATGTATGTTAATGATTCTGTTATGGTAGACTTTAGTTAAACATGAATAGGAAAGTAAGGAAATGGTCATATCTTCGTTATCACAAGCAATCCACTTAACTCTGATCAACCCGAATTCATTTGTTACATCTTCCTGAACAGCTAGAATTAAATCTGTGCTGTCATTCAGTATTCGTGTAAATGTTTATATCAAGAACAATTATGGATTTTGTTCTATGTCGTTCACCATGCCTAAGTATTAACAATCGGCAACATGAAGGAAATATAGACAGTGAGATTGAATGCAGAAAAGCAGGTGTGTTGTAGAGGGATTTCAGTAACAATTTGGATTGGGAAAATGACTCAGACTCTAGATCTAAAATTGTCAGTAATACAATGTGCTACTATTCGAAAAATACGCCTTCAAGTTGCAAATTCTCCGAAGGGAAGGATGTAATGTCGCATCATGTCTATTTTTCACTTGATCAGTATTATAAACATGGATTTGGAGGACTGGGCGGAAATGTGTATTGAATTAAAGGAGATGAAAACGGCATGATCTGTGGGGGTAAATGGAGATGTCATTCTGACCGTTGGGAGTTTTTAAGTAAAAATTTTTGAGTTTTTTTACATATTTACACCCTCCCAAAGCTCTATCCAGGATGCACCTTTCCACATCGCCAAAATTCAGTTTGATACTGTGGTCAAGGCTTACAATTTTCTTGATTCTCATGATTTCTGATAGGAACAACACAACAAAAACTTGTTTTTTTTGTCTCTGGTTTAAAAAGTACCCAAACGGACTTAAGTGGATTGCTTGTGACACGGTCAGAAACAACCTCAATAAAAGATGTAACAATGATTATGGTAATTACTTGACTGTACATAGCTGCCACACTTACAGCTTTGTTTTCAGTTGTTGCCCTATAAATGTTCTACATCAATGTCGGCCACGACAAACAGGGTCAAAGTAGCACATACCCCTAAATGATCATAGTTGTTGCTGGGGGGGGGGGGGGGGGGGGGGTTAAAAACTATTATAATTTTCATCGTCATCTTTGCCTTTCTCACCCTAGATCAGGGTATAGGCCATGAACAAAAACTTTCCGCCTTTCCCTATCCTGGGCTAGTTTTGTTATCCCATATTTTCCCTTTTTTCTGCACATCAATTTCTGATTACAATATTCGCTTTTATATATATATATATATATATATATATATATATATATATATATATATATCTATCTTTTTTTTTGCTTGGTGTGAGTAGGCTCCTGCATAGTCAGAACGTGAACTGCCAGTACGGAGAGGCGGAGGAGACATACAACACGGCTGTCAGAATCTGCGAGGACCTGGAGTCGCGGGGCCACAAGGTGAACAAGGCCGTGCTGCACTCTGAACACTGCGCACTGCTCTTCGCACAGAGCAAGTACACTGAGGTATGTAGTGATAACAGTTTTGACCATCAATGGCTGACAACAACCAATGTTTCTGCAAAACAGAAGAAACGAGGGTTAGGATAACTTGTGGCTTCTGCTATGGTCAATGAGGCCAATTCTAGTAGAAAAGTGTTTGCCACATTTTCAGCCTTTAAAAGTTTCATTTCCAGTTGTGGATGTAAGCAGCTTGCAGGCTTCTCTTTTGGCTCCAGTATTTTGTATATGTGAAGACTCATTTGAAGCCTTGATCTGTCTTAACCTGGTTTCCATGGCATGAACTGTGGAGCCATTTCTGTGATTACAGTAAGGATGTAAGTTCATGTGAAGTGCTCAATTGCTCTTAGAAAAACTCGCATTGTTTCTACTTTTTCATTAATATTGATATTGACATAGAGAAGGAGACATGAAATTCATTAGTGTTTTCTTCTCTCTGTTTATAAACATGCTTTGTTTGCATGTCTCGATTTTTGCCTATCCTTTCTGTATGTCGAAGAAAAGTATTGTCCATATAGATGCTTTTTGTTCCTTTACTACTTTGACCTTTGGATAACAGTGTATTTTACTTGATATAATACCTCTTTTTTCAGGCCTTCAACACCTGCCATCTTGCCATTCTGGAACTGAATCCCAACATGCCTCCTATGGTAAGTTGTGGTTTGTTTATCAGAAATCCAGTCTTCAAGAAGCACATCAAGGTCTAAAGTGGAGCTTTTGTCATGTTATTGTTGTTTGTGAAGAGTCTTTATGATCTTTCCAATTTCCTAGTTTGTAAAAATATGTGGAACATTGTCAAATTTCATTATGTACTGAATACATCAGAGTGTGATTTGGTCTATGCAAGAACATAATCATTGTAGGTTAATGGTGGTGGGATTTATTTTAATTTTTTCCTTTTTTTTCTTTGAACTGTTTGATCTGAAAGAAGAAAAAAAAATGAAGGGGGGGGGGGAGGGTTCAGGTGTTTGTCTTTTGAACATAAAAATGTTCCATGTAGTGTTTTGACCAGCAATTGTTACAGTTTGGTTCTTTTCATATTTCCTCAGGCCATTGTGAATGTGATGCGGCTTTGTTCAAAGGTGAGGTTTTATTGTAGCATATTGTAAAAGTCAGAAAAAAAAGATACATGTGTGTTACTTTTTAGATCCGTAGTGCATTTTTTTTTCCCCCTGTTGTATGATTTTGACAATGAATGTGTTCTTTGTTCTGTTAATGTGGTACATTTTTTAAATTAAAATTCTTTTTTTTTCTTAAATATGTTTTAGTGGTCAAGAAGTTTACTTGCAGGCTGTTATTGTTCAGTTTGTATTGAATACAAGGAGGTAAATTTTACACTTCTTTTGTTGTTGTTTTTTTCCTGGTGCTTTGGGGTTTGTCTATTCCCTTTTGCTTAATTAATGAATCTCTAGTTGAAAGTCTTTCCGAATTAGTCACCAAACTCTGATACTGAAATTCTCTATACTATTTTTTAACCATTTTGTATTGGAAAGTTCTCATATTCAGCATTGGGGTGGTTGGCGGGTGCTCTGGTATGGTTTGCTTATTCTTTCTTGTCAAACATCTATCGTCCTTTTCTCCCCTTCTTCTGTTTTATGTTTGTTACTCTTTTGTAACACCTCTTCATCTGGCGCTCATATGACCTTGTGCAGTTGTGAGTGCCGTAATACCTCTACTAAAAAGAAAATAATTAAATTGTTGCTCCTTGTTCTCTGTTTCTTAATTGCATACTTTTTATTTCAGGCCTGTGTAGTCAAACGAGAGTTCAAATCTGCTGAATTATTAATGAAATATGCTGTAGCTTATGCAAGGTGAGTTTCCACTTAAATGAGTACATGGCATTTTCTTGATTTGTGTTATGAGTGATTCGTATTATAATTTGTTTCGTGCATAGAGCTTGCTGATGAGCAGGGATTTGCGTTATACAATTGCCATTATTATTATTAACATTTGTCTGCCCAGTCTGTTTGAACATTTTTTAATTTGTATGGGGTTGCAAAAAGTATATCGTTGTTTGATACCTCTAAGCTAATCGCTGTAAACTTTCCTGAGTGGGTGGTTAGCGGGTGCCCTGGTGTGGTTTGCTCCTTTTTTCCTATCAAAAGCTATCGTCCTCTCTCCTCCTCCTTTTTTGTGTTTGTTACACTCTTGTAACACCTCTAATCTTTTGGCACTTGTATGACCTTATTGTGTTGCAAGTGCCGTAAAACTCTTACTTAAACCAAAGATAGTACAAGACAAGATGGGCCACTTCTCTCTTTGAGCCAATTAAAAAGTGTCCTCAAAATTTGGTGGCGCCCTCTTCACAAAAGCGCACTCTTTGCGAACAGAGTTACCCTACTTGAGTTTTAAAAAATCAAAGTGAAACTAGCAAGTTTTGGGATAAATTTCGGAAGAACGCTTTTTAAAAATGGTTACGCTGACAAAAAACCTCTTCCGGAGGAAAAGGAGATGGTTTTCTTCGTTTAATTTGACTTTAGAATGAAGGGCGAGAGGTCATTAAAATAGAAAAAAACCTAAAACTCCGCACTGAACGTACCCGAACTGCTGATGAACAGCAGTCGATCTGCGCACGCAAGGATGTGCTATTCCTATTCTTCTTCTGGAAAAACGAAAGAGAGCTTCAAAACAGACTGCAGCGCCATCTGAAGCAAAGAGCATACTTCCTGCGGACACTTTTTAGGCTGAGTGGCCCATCTTGTCTTGTACTATCTTTGCTTAAACTAAAACTTTCCTGATTGCTTCTGAATAATGCAACTGGTTCATAATGTGAGTTTGGTTGCATTTGTTGAGATACTATTCAGCTTGTTTTGTTTTTATTTTGACTTTGCTCTTTACTACTAGTGTGTGTATTGAGTGAACATGATATGACTTTCATCGAGACAAGTGCTTTCGTGGTGGTGAGAATAATGATTACAATCTTCATTCATCTTGCAGGGGAAATTTTGTCTTGGTCTTTTTAAAGATGAAGTGTTTCTGGAAATATTATGAAAGAAAAACTATAAATGGGTCTTTACACAAAAGTAGTATATTTTTTAAGTGCCTCGGTGTGGTGATGTTTTGATTTCGGTGTTTGTTTTCTAGGGAGAAGTTTGGCAAGCACCACCCGAAGCATGCAGACACCCTGTTGGACTACGGCTTCTTCCTGCTCAACTCAGATTGTGTGGTGCCCGCAGTGCAGGTTTACCAGGTATGGGCTCGGGGGAAAGATTTGTGTTTTTTGTTTTACTGTGCAGAACTGGTTGTCTTTTATCATTTCTTTTATTTTTCTTCTTTTTTTTCGCCCCCCCCTGTTTCTGCTGGTGGTAGGATGATGCCACTACCAGTGTGTGTGGTGTTGTGCTTAGGCGCTTTGATGTCATGTACAGGAGACTCAATATTGATTATGGAGTGGGGAGAAATTTTACAGAGTGTCTTGTTCTTACTGCAGGGACGTTGTTTCCCCTCTCAATCTGGATTGGCCCTGACAGGAAGGGTAGAAGCCCTTCTCCTGAATGATCTAAATTGTGTCGATGAGGGCATAAAAGACATGTATATTTTTAAAAAATGGATGCCACTAGTAGGTCCTACTTCTTTTTTTTTGCTTCTGGTTTTTAGGCTGTTTTTCTCTTTTTGTTATCCCCACACTGAATTTCAGTTATTGTGTGAGTGTGGGTGGTTAGCAGGAGCTCTGGTTTAGTTTACTCCTACTTATGTCTCCTACTTTTTTCCGTTGTATATTAGTATCTAGTAACACCTCTAATCTTCGGCACTTATTTGACCTTACTGTGTTGCAAGTGCTGTAAAACTAAAGCACAAAAAAAGTTGTGTTGATCTGCTTCATTTTAATGTCTGTTTCATTTGCTTTTTTGACATTGTTCCGCAGCTTGCCCTGGACATACGACAGAACGTGTTTGGTGGCAACAACTTGTACGTCGCCATCGCATGTGAAGACCTTGCCTACGCCTCCTACGTCAATGAATACAGCTCTGGCAAATTCAGGAATGCCAAGTCAGTCATTTTCCTATGTTGTCTCTCTTCCTTTATTGGGTACCTTTAGTTGAGTTTTTATATTTGTTCTTCTTTTTTTTTTTTTTTTACTGTACCCAGCTGTTTTTGGAAGTGACAGCTAGTTTGTAGTCTACACTTTTGTTCTTAGCATCCATACTTTTGACTGTCTCTTAAAAGTCCAAGAGAAAGAGAGACCCTGTTTCCATCACCGTTTTCTTATCAGATATTGTAAATTTCTACTGATACTTAATTCCCACTGAAATAATAATTAATAATTATAGATGACAATTAATGAACGCTCAACCTTATTAAAGGACACAGGCTTGGAGTGCTTTGCAAATATAACATAAGCTTTGCATTGTGTTCTGACTAAGAATGTAGATATATCTCTTAAACCCTCTCCGTACGCCTGGGGTCATTTTGTACCCCAAAGGTTGTATTCTTCACATTTTAGAATACTTCTAGTTCAAAGATCTCTTTGAAACTGTCAGTATTTCTCCAAAAATCATTTTGACAGACTGCTATGCAAAACGTACGGATCGGATTAACAAGTAAATTTCCTCTTTTGAAAGTGGTGACACACAGTTCCCCATGTCGTATAGATACGATAGTAAAACACGAAGTACGGATAGGGTTTTAAAAAAACAAAAAACTAAAGGTTGTAAATGTCTTCTTCTTTTTTTTATTTCTTTCATCTTTCATTCGTGTGAAGACTAATCAATTTGTTGCTATTTTTCCTCAAACAGAGACCATGCAGAGAAGTCAATGGCCATTTTGAATAAAATCCTTCCTGAGAACCATCTTCTTTTGTCCTCGTCCAAAAGAGTCAAAGGTGAGCCTGAAAGTTGTTTCGTGGGTGGTTGGCAGTTGCTCTGGTGTGATTTTCTACTTCTATCCTATCGAACATCATCATTATCTCACCCTATTCTTTTTTGTATTTGTTACTCTCTTGTAACGTCACTTATCTTCAGCACTTAAATGACCTTATTGTGTTGCAGGTGCCGTAATACTCTTACTAAAACTTTTTACAGGTTGTTTCAGATTTATTTTTCTGTCTTGATTTGTTGCCCCGTTGTATTTCTATTATTGAAAAGGAAAATGTTCCTTTTTTAAAAAAACAAAATCAAAACAGTAGTCATAATTTATATAGTGCTCTATCCTGTTTGGAAACAAGCTCGAAGCACTGTACAATTAAAGTGGACAATACCCAGAAACAATTTTTTTTAAAGCATTCGCTGAAGTGAAAAAGAATGACCGTATTCAAGATCTAAAGGGGTATGTTTTCAAATGGGTTATGTGACTGAGGTATATCTTTCTAGCTGTCGGTCTAAAGAACGTGGTGGTTCGTCTGTTCTTTTGCCTTTCATGTAAGCTATGATACTATTTGAGCTATTAATAGATTTAGTAACATTCTTGTAGTCTTCATGCAGATGGGTGGAGGATGCTAGTGATAGGTCCTACTTCTTTTCTTTTATTCAGGTGTTTCTGTTTGTCTGTCTTACTCGTGCTATGTTCAAAATGAATGTTGTGGTGTGGAAATTCTTCTCTTTTCGTTTAAAGAAAAATTCGAATTCTTACCTGGTATGAAACCACCTGTCTTTCTCTGTTCAGCGTTGATCCTGGAGGAAATTGGCATCGACTGTAATGACAAGACCGAGGAGAAGAAGTACCTGGAGGAGGCCCTTAAGCTGCACTTGTCTTCCCTGGCACAGACCCGCAAGGCCTTTGGGGAAGAGAATGTGCAGACGGCAAAACACTACGGCAACCTGGGACGTCTTTGTCAGTCCATGAAGAGGCACGAGGTAGGAAGAAAGAAGTCTGCTGTTTCTCTCCCTCCTCTCTCTCTTTCCTTTTCTCTCCCCCCGTCTCTCTCTTCCTCTCTCCCTCTCTCGCTGCCCTTCCCTCCCACTTTCTCATCCTACACCCCCACCCCAAGGTTCCTGTTCAGCATAGTTGTCCATTTTGTCTGTGTTGGGGTTCAGTTCAAAGTGTCTTGAAAATATTTCACATCACTTTGATCCATGACACCTTGAGCGAAGTGGCTACTCTTTTTCCCAGTGTCATAACACTATTGTTTTGTTTTTGTTTCTTGCCAGGACGCGGAGCGCATGCACAAACAGGCTATTGAGATCAAAGAACGGCTGTTGGGACCCGACGACTATGAGGTGGCTCTGTCGGTTGGACACTTGGCCTCTCTCTTCAACTACGACATGTTTAAATATGATGAAGCTGAAAAACTCTACCTGCGCTCTGTGAAAATTGGTATGTGGTGCTGTATACAGACCTGTCACTCATCCCGATTTAGACGGGATATCCCGATTTTTTGCCCCAAATCTCAATCCTCCTGATTTTCCCGATTTCGATCGCATTATCCCGATTTTTTGTCCCATTCTGCTGTTGTGACGGATCTTTCTGAAAACTTACTCTGCCTTCTCCTTTATCCCGGGAAGCACCCGTCGAACTTTTTGTCAGTAGGAACTCGGGGCACTATTTCCCAAAATATCAATGCCGCATTTAGTATTTGACTCGCCCCAAATTGTGTGATCTTTTCACACACTCAGAATTCTCCGATGATAGCGTAATAATTGATAATATTCGTAGTTCCGCTGTTACTTTCAAAACAAGCCTTGTGCGAGGTCTGGTAACTGCGTTCGCATCAAACACTCAGACGAGCGACAGTCTTTCTAACCCTTACACAACTACATGTAACTGTGCTGACCGTTGTCGTTGCTTTAGTCTGAACCACGGCGGTCTGAACACATGAGGGATAAGAGATTTGTGGTACATTTGGTCGGTTGGCCGCCTTCGTTATACTAGAATTAGAACGACTGTCGCTCATCCGAGTGTTTTGTGTGAACGAGCAGTTAGTCGGACCCGTCAGTAAAATTGTTTCAATCGCTCATTCGCGTCACGTGACATATCAACGCCGTGTGAGTTCTGCGTGTCGGGGACCGTCCGTTGACGGGGTCAACTTAAGTTCATGGGGGTGTGTAGACTCCTGGACTAGGACTCAGTGCTTCCACTCTTCCGTATTTTTACGGAAATCCGTACTTTCTGCTAGTTCCGTACTTGTTCCTCCATCATCATCAACTCCCTCCGTAAAAATCTGCGACAGCGTAGGACTACCGATATTCCGCAGCAAAAGATCCGTACTCGCCTTCGTATGTCTTGTATAAGTTACGGATATTTACGGTAATTCTCTTCGGCAATAGTTTATGCTATAGAAACCTGCCAGATTGCGCATTTCCTGCAATCGGCCATTATTCTACTCTGCCCCATGCATTCATTGCAGGCTTGTCGGCAGTACATTTTTTACCTGCAGATTGATCAAAATCTGGCGAACTTTTTGTGCCACTTTCCTCCTTTCTATCATTTCCTCATTCCGTCTGTCTATCTTCGGATTGTTGCCGCGGCTGGAAGAATCTGCGCGTTGATCAAGTATATTGACATGTGATCTTAGACAGAAAATTACTGTCAGAAAGAATTTTTTTTGCAAATTTATTGTCTAGATTCTAGATCTAGAGAAATTATCATTGCGAAGATTCGGACGAGCGACAGTCGTTCTAACCCTTACACAACTACATGTAAACTGCGCTGGCAAGACTAACATACGGCCGTTGTCGTTGCTTTGGTCTGAACGCATTATGAGGGATAAGAGATTTGTTGGTACATTAATTTGGTCGGTCGGCCCCCGTCGTTATCCTAGAAGTAGAACGACTGTTTCTCATCCGAGTATTTTGTTTGAACGTGCAGTTAGTCGGACCTGTTAGTAAAATTGTTTCTATCGCGCATACGCATCACGTGACATGACATCGCCGTGTGAGTTCTGCGTGTCGGGGACCGTCCGTTGACGGGTTCAACCTAAGTTCATGTATTTCGGGACTTATTGGTTGGGTGGGGGGGGAGGGGGGTAGAGACTTTTGGACTAGGAGTGCTTAACGTGATGCTTCAGGATTTACAAAAAATAATGATAACACGCACGCAAAGACACACAGAGAGCATATAGGCCGAGTAATTTATGGACACCCATGGAAAATTTTTAAGTCAGCTTCGGCAGTCACCTTGGTGATATGCTGTTGATCCCGATTTTTTTCACCAAATCCCGATTTTTCTCTCCCTGAGATCCTAATTTTGAGGCTTCATAGAGTGGCAGGTCTGGTAACTGTATTGTGAAGGTACGGCCTACATATATCTATTCATTATTCCCAGGTTTGCTTTCTATCAGTATCAAAGGTGCAATGACAAATTAATTGAATTATAGTAGCAATGGAAGGGGAACCTAAAATAGATATATTGGTGAAGAAATTATACAAGACAAAATCTGGGTGAAAAAATAGGTAGTATGGGTTGTTGGCAATCTCTTCAAACAGGCTCCCAAATGCCATTTTCAACCCTCTAAAAGTACTAAATTTCAATTTCTTAGGGGGCTTCGCCCCCTGAACCTCCACCGGGACTCTGTCCCTGGACCCTGCTGGGGGCCTCTGCGACCCCCAGCAGAATTTTCCTTACTTTTCAGCTTCAGCTAGTGGAAGCACTGAGGACTATTAGGAGTGCTTGATGCGATGCTTCAGGATTTACCAAAAAATAATGATAACTCGCACGCACGCACGCATGCTCACACGCACGTTAACAAACAAAGACACACAGAGGCCATATAGGCCAAGGAATTTATGAACACCCCTGAAAAAATTTTAAGTCAGCTTTGGCAGTTACCTTGGTGATTTGCTGTTGATCCCGATTTTTTTCACAGAATCCCGATTTTTTTTTCTCTGAGATCCTGATTTTGAGGTTTCATAGAGTGGCAGGTCTGTGTATAGATAGAGAATGCATGTTGTTGTCAGAGTCATTGATTTTCCTGATAAATCTGGATATCTGAAAATTTCCAGATTTTGTAATATAGTTCTGCTTAAACATTTATTCATATTTTAATCTCTTTTTGCATATTGTATTCATAAAATGATCTTGGTTCAAGATGCATTAGACTATTTTTGTAAATTTTTTGTCACAGCAATCAGGTTTCTAGGGGTCCGAAGAGGGGTTGTTTTTTTTGGGGGGGGTTTTCATAGCTCTCTGGCCTCTCTAGTTTGTCATAGTGCTTATCACTTGGGTTCATTAGTTTTTTGCTCAGGGAGTTCAGAGCTGGTTGGAGAGTGCTGCAAGTGGGTCTCTCTGTTTTCCCCAATCCTCTTTTCTTCTTTGCATACCACTGCTAGATCTGAGGGGTAGTTGACTGCTAGTTCTTCACAGTCTTCAACCTGCAGTGCTACTGATTTTTACATATGTGACTGATTTTCCTACTTCTTAGGGCTCCTTGCTTTCAGGCAGCCACATTCTGATACCAGTATTTTTTTGTTTTTTGTAGGAATTAATTTTAGATTTTTTCCAGGTGACATTTAAAGCCTTTCTTTTCGAATTTTGGACCACCAAGGGATCTTTAACATGCAGCTTGCACGCAGGGCCTCCAGATTTTTGGCCCTTGTCCGAAATGGCTAGGTGATTGATAAAGTGGAATTTATTGATTGCAGGTCGCCAGCTGTTTGGTGAAGGTTACAGTGGTCTGGAGTACGACTACCGTGGTCTGGTTCGTCTCTACACACAGAAACGGGACTTTGCCCAAGCTGACCACTACCGGGACATCATCAACCAGTGGTCAATCCTGCGAGACACACACAACGCACGTGAGGTTAGTAGGCTTCATTACAAATTATTAGATAAATGGACCAATTACGGTCCTGTTATTTTTACATAGCTGTCAACTTATAGAAGTTTGCTTTTGTATTGAAACATTCGCATTGTCTATTTTCTGTCATTGCTCCTCGTGGACTTTCGATGCTCAAGAAAAATGATATATATGTATTTTCAAGACCTGATTTACAAATAATGAGAACGAAGTCATAAATCAAAAAGGCTTGAATTTATTGAATTCAGAAAAGTATGTGTGTGTGTCGTGGGGGAGGTGGGGGGGGGTTACTTGGCTAATGCCCACTGTCTTAGTCCACTGTGTGGGTAGAGTCTTTTTTTTTAAAAGTTGGCAGCTGTTTTTAAATTTCTGAGCTTTGATTCTACGAAGACCCAAAAGCAGACACCTGAAAATAAATGGGTTCACTTTGTTGCTTAACAGACTGAGAGGATGATGGGTTAGTACAGACCTGCCACTCATACCGATTTAAATGGGCCCATTATCTGGCTGATTTACAGTGAGATACTTCTCTTCAAATTTTAATGATTTTAATGGTCACTGTTACATTGAAGTCGTTCGTTTTTACCTAAGCTGACAAAATTATTAGATCTGCATACCTGCCAACCCTACAGAAAAAATCGGTAGATCACCGACTTTTGGGTCAAACTACCGATTCACCGATTTTGAGATGAAGCCACCGACTTCGGGATTCAGCAGGGTGACTGCCAGGCCCCGGGAATTTGAGAAAGTTATCAAATATTTGAAAACCAAATCCGATAACGCCCGAAAGTTCATTTTTGCCGGTCGCGATTGTGATTCATTCAGCTCCCTCGAGAGTATGTTTCTTCATGCAGACAGGCAGCTATGGTGGTAAGCGGGTGTGATACCAACGTTTGATTGGGATAATCAAGATATACTTTCACTTTCGTTACCACCCAGAAATTTGCTGCTAGTAGTTTGATAACGCAACATTAATTGTAACAACATGCAGGCTATGCATGGCAAACGCTATGTCGCCTTGAAAATAAATCAATATTTGTCCTGTGCTGTCACTTGTGAAAAAAAAAAGAAAAGAAAAGATAGTTATAGTTATACAAGCGTCTTGTCGGGTTCGCCATTGTGACCAGTCAATGAACTTAAGCGTTCCATCACATTGTGAGCACCGGCACTTGTAGGGGTCACCAAAGTTCATTCAAAGTCTGAGCGCTGCGTAGTATAGGACTCCTGAATGGGGGGAGGATTATTTTTTTTAAAGATACACTCGGGGGAGGGGGGGGGGGGCGGTGAAGGCAACACCAGGCCAGGGGACAAAAACTGAACTTGGAAGCTAATTTTAGTATTCTAAATTTTTGATTACCTCTAGATCTAGAAAACTCTCTGCAAAACGCGTGTTGGTGCAGGCCTTGAGTGGACTCGGGATCCGTCATACTCTTTCCTTGTAAACTCTGCAAAGACAAAAGGCCAAGGCTAGGCCTAAGTCATCCAAGGCCCACTTTTTCTTCATCTTTGCTTCTGTTTTGTTTTTTGTTTTTGGGGGGTTGTGGTTTTTTGGTTTCATTTGTGTGTGTGTTCGTGCTGGTATGAATAGGACAGGAACTGCACCAACTACTAATAGGGTAAATGCCTCTGGTAGTTTTCATATTTGTCATTTTTTCTTTGTCATTTTCTACATTTGTTTGAAGTCGCAAACACAATCATGCATATTTGATGTGGGTCAAAATAAAATATTAATAAGGGTCCCAAATTAAGTATGCGACAAGAGGTAATATAGCCTACTACAGATTTTTTAGGTCAACTACAGATTTTTGGACAAAAATTTGCTTCCAACTACAGATTTTGGCCCAGGCAATGTTGGCAGGTATGGATCTGGCTTTATGGGTGGTTGGAGGATGCCATTGGTTGGTTTTATTTTTTTTTTCTGTCTCTTGTTTCTGTATGTATGTCTGTCTGTCTTACTCTTTTTCTGCACTGAATGGCTTGTTTATGTGTAGTTGATGTACTTCTCTTTTCTCCAACAAACGAGCAAGTGGGTGGTTGGTGGGTGCTCAGGTGTGATTTGCTCCTTTTTTTCATATCATAAACAGACCTACTCTTTACTCAAATAAATAAACAAACAAACAAGTGGGACTTATCTCTCTCTCTCCTTCCTGTCCTCCCCATTTCTACCCCCCGGGGCGATGCTAGTAACTGAAGTGTCTTTAGGTCTTTCCCAAAGGCGGGACATTAACCATGTTCTTATGCACAGTAGAATTGTAATTGTAAATGGGCTGATTCATCAATGTCATGCTCATAACTGTCTCTGAACTGCATCAGGGAACTGCTGCTTTTTTTTTCCTTATCTTTACTATCGTCATTTTTTCCTCTACTTCTTTTGTATCATGTTTGTCACATTCTTGTGACCCGCTATTTCCGAGGTGCCTTGATAGTCGAAGCCGACTTTGTACTGTTGAAGCTAGAGAGGTGAGCAGAGTAAGTCTGGTTCCCTGTAAGGACTTCTCTATTGACATCCACCCCTTGGAGCTTATATGACCTTATGTAGTTGCGAGCAGCTTAAAACCTCTACTAAAACTAAACTCCCCAGTTCAATCCCCTGGAGTACGAGATCACCATGACAATCCCTGAGCTGGTGGAGCAAGTGATGCGGAACCACGCCCTGGCTCTCAACGCCGGCAAAGGGACGGACCACAAGGGGGACAACACGAAGGAGACTGCTGAACGGAGCTCTGGGGAATGATGATGCGCCTGCGTCTGCCTGTGGCTGACACTGTGTGTGTGTGCGCGTGCATGTGTGTGTGTAAGTTCTGTATGTGTGTATAATTTCTGTATTTGTGTGCGCGTGTGTCTATAATTTTTGCATTTGGTTGTGTGTGTGGTAAGTTTGTGTATAAGGTCTGTATTTGTATGCATGTGTGTGTGTATGTGATTTCTGCATTTGTTAGTGTGTGTATGTGTATAAAGTGTATTTGCGTGCGTGTGTGTGTGTGTGTACATGTAAAGTTTGTATTTGTATGTATGTGTACGTGTGCGTGCGTGCATGAGTAATGAAACATCATATTTCAGCTACAATCATGGATGTCAACATTCACTCTTTTTCATTGTTGTTAAAGATTTTTGGTTGTATTTATGGGTAGTTTGGCTTTTTAAAACCTTTTTTTTTGGCTGTATGTGTAAGTTTTATTTTTTAATGGAATGTTTTAGCCCTTGTTCCCTCTCCAATGGCTGCTGTTTCAGTGTTTGAGCTCTTTGATAAACAGCTCTCAATGTGTTCTCTGTGTCTCTGAGGAAAATATTTTGGAACACACGTCATTGTGGCATCAGGGGCTTGGTGGTAAGGCTCTTCTACCCACAACCATAAGGTCGTGGGTTCGAGTCTCATCAGGGACCTGATGTTGTGTCCTTGGGGAAAGGCACTTTACACGTATTTTCCTCACTTCACTCAGGTGGGAATAGGTAGCCAGCTATAAACAGCGAAAGTTTTTGTCAATTTGTTAGCGTTATAATAGTACACATGGAATGCTACCTGAGAAGCTAAGAATATGTTCAAGTGTTCCAGGCTCTGCTGGGGTAATAATGGTTGTGCTGCAAAGGGCAAAGAATGTTCTGTAGAGTGGATTTTCCCTGTATACATGCAACTATTATTATTATTATTATTATTATTATTATTATTATATATAAACAGCAATGTGTTAATTTACTTTCCAAAACAGTGACCTTGTTCTTTATGTGTCTTATGGCCACTATCAAATTTGCATTTAGTTGTTAGGAAAAGGTTTTCCTTATTAACAAAATATTATTGTAGGTTGATATTGATGAATATTATTGTGTAAATGTTTGTTGTTTTTTTTCTTAATTTTTAGAAGTGCATGTGGCCTTGTGTTTTAAGTACAGTCGCTGATAGTGTGGAGTTTGTTGCTGTCATGGATGAAAAGTAACAGATAGTTTGAACGGAATGAAATTTGGGTTGTTTGGAATGTTCATTTGTTTGTGAATATTTGCCAGTAAGATGGATTGTAACTGTGAAAGCCTGCAGCGATTTCTGTGTATATTTTGATCTGTTTGGAGAAATCATCCCTTCATATTCAGCATCATCCTCACAGTGACCGAAGATTGTTTTTAATGAATTCTACTCTTGTTCATTGTTATTCGCTGTAAACTACTCATCTTTCATTTTTAATTTTTTTTTTTTTCTAGTTCATGAGCTGTGCTTGTATCTGGTCTGGTCAATTTGTTCTGTTTTTCATACTTCAGTGTTAGTGAATGGCACAGGAGCTTTGTTTCGGGAAACTTGTAGATGAGATTGAGAACCAGTTGTAAGGACGATATAATATACCGTAGAGTCTGCACAAACTGAACACAGTTAATCTGGAAAGCGCATTAAACGTTGAAAATAAAATCCCTGATTTTTTTCCCCTTTTATTTTGAGCAACCTCGGAAAAACCGGGTTCTGGCAGTCCTGCAGATTTCGGTTTAAGTGGACTACACTGTATATGGTTTTCACTATTCACACATGTGTAGGAAAAGAGCAGTTAGTAATATTTCAGTTTTTGTTCATGGATAGTTCAGTGTCTAGACGTGCTCCCAAGCTGGTTGTTTGATTATGATTGCAGAACTGTACAGTAAAGGTATGTGAATATGCATGCCAAAGCTCATCAATATGCAGAATATATCAGCATCTCATCTAAATACCAGTCAGTTGTCTCTGTGTGGGAATTTAATGTTCTCTTTTCAGTTTTTGTTTTTAAAACTTTTACATAGTTTCTGATTCACTGTCTTGTCATGATTATTTGTTATGTATATTTATTGTGAATGAAATTTTTATAGTGACCAATGGGTACGTGTTGTTGTGGTTGAAAGGTCATGATGTTAACTTCTGACAGCTAGTCACATCTGGTATACAGACCTGCTAAGTACTCTGATAACACTGGAGCTCTCCGATCGAATATTTTTTCTTGCCAGTAGAAGAATCCTAATGGATTTGCACTTTTTTTTCCCCTTGAATTCTGTTTCAGTCAAGTTGGATATGACTTGTCATACATAATAATTATGGGAATCATTTCTGTAGTGCCCATGCCCGTAAAATGCAGCTCTAGAAGCACTTTTTAATACAAATAAACCATTATTATTTGCAGCATTCGTGCGGCTCATTGTAAGTCATGTGAAAATACACCGGGGGGGGGGGGTTTTTGCGTGTATTTGCAATACACTAATTTTCAGTGGTTGGTTTGTCACATATTTCTAATCCGTGGCTGTTCTACAGTTTCTGGGGGGGGGGGGGTCCCGAACTCCTATTGGTTGGGGGAGAAATCTGAGGAAAACTCCCAAGTGTTGGTGATAGAGTGGTTGGCAGGTCTGGGTATGGACACAAATGTACATAGTTTCTGGCATGGCTGTGGCTCTATGGAGGTGCTTTTGTACATACCGCTCTGTGGGCTTTTGTATCAAACTGAATCCCTGATTGTCTTGGGAAGGCTTATGGGCTGTGGGCGTTTGTCTTCTCTAGTTTGGATGTGTGGGTTTGTTTGTACCCTAAGGTATCGAATAAGCGTCCCTCCCCGCTTATTAATTTTCAGGTTTTTTGCATACCACGCCCCCGCTCCTTGTTCCATACTCCCTGTTTATTATTTTCCAGCTTGGCTATATTTTTCTATGAAACTGTTTTTTTCCTAAATGGGAAAAGTTGTCACAGTAACTTATCAAAATCACTAAAATTTCATGATCTCTTGTGCTTTTATTCACTGAAGGAGAAATGAAAGAGATTTGTTCCTACTAGCCTACTAGTTCAGGGGTGTGAGGTTAAATGTGGCACCTGCCCCCCCTCCCCCCTTTAAAAACATTTTAAACTCACACACCCCGTTTATTAATTTTTTTGGACCACTTTGTCCGCCACGCCACGCCCCCCGTTTATTCGATACCTTAGAGTATATACCAGTGCATTGTGGGTTTATGTATGGGGGTGCTTATGGATGCTTGGCAAGCGCTGTGGCTATAATGTGGTTTGCTCCTTCTTTCGAATTCAACATTTATTGTCCTCTCCTCTTTTTTTACCTTTTTATGTTTTCTCTAGAACACCTCCTATCTAATGCACTTTTATCATACCCTTTTTTTGTGACAAGTGTTGAAAGCTCTTACTATCCCCCTGGGGCGGTAAGTATCTTTAGGCCATTCCCAAAGGGGGGACATTTCTCATTCTAGTGCACAGTAGAATTGTAAATGGGCTGATCTAACAATGTCATGCTCATAACTGTGCCTGAACTAAAACAGGGAAGTGCTGCTTTTTCTGTCCTAATCCTTACTATCGTCAATTTTCCTCTTCTTCTTTTGTATGTTTGTTACACTCTTGTGACCTGCTATTTCTGGGGTGCCTTCATAGTCGAAGCAGACTTTGTGCTGCTGAAGCGAGAGAGGTGAGCAGAGTAAGCCTGATTCCCTGTAAAGACTTCTCTGCTGACATCCACCCCTTGGCGCTCATATGACCTCATGCAGTTGTGAGTGCCATAAAACCTCTACTAAAAACTCTTACTAAAGCTAAAAAATAAGCATCTATTATCCTTATTACTCCTCCTTCTTTTCTTTGTACATGTTAGTAACAGCTCTAATCTCTGGCACTTATATTATCTATTTGTGTAATAAGTGCTGTAGAACTAGAGTATTTTGTGTGTATATGTAAGAGCACCCTTGCGCTGGTTGTATGTTTTCTTGAATTTTTTTGCTCTTTAACAGAGTATTATCTTGTCCATATTCGTTTCTTCTCTCACCCCCCACCCACATAGTTTTCGTCTGGCAAGCTTTTGTGGTGGGTGGTTGATGGATGCTCTAGTGTGGTTTGCTTCTTCTTTCCTATCAAATATTTTTAGTCCTTATCTCCTCTCTGTGTTTGTTGCTCTCCTTGTAACCCCTAAACTTCGGCATTTAAACGACTTACGACCTTTTTGTGTTACAAGTGCTGTCGAACACTGACATAATATACAAAACAAGCTCTTATGGGGTACCCAGTGGAGACTGGGGAGTGGCCGTACATTGTAGCTTCTCTTGCTGTAGATTGAGTTTGTGTTAGATATTGATGACAGTCTGTTTCGTTTTGGTACATATACATGTGAACATTGAAGTAGTTGTGGCTAAGGTTTAATCAGTGTTATGAAGGGAAACTTTTAGAGCTATGTCTCTTCTCTTGTGCATTATTTTTTTTCCTCTGTGGGGGGCCTATATTTGGTTTACCTACAACAACCAATAAGGTGAAGATTTACAAGTTTTTCAAGTGTCTCCCTTTTTTTTTCCAGTGGCATTATTTAGTTGTTTGTTGGGGGTTTTTTTTTACTCTTACTTTCCTGTGGTTGACCTTGCTTACATGTGAGCAGCTTGAGGCAAAATGATGGATTTGAATTTTCAAATAGTTTTCTTTCATTTTTATTAAATGAGAGACTCCCCCCCCCCCCCAAGCCTTTTCTTGAATCTCGGAGTTGAGAGTGTTTGGGTGTGTTGATTTGTGCAGGTACAATTTCTGCTCTTGGGACAGGTTTTTTTTTGGGGGGGGGTTTCAATGGCTTTGTTTCGTTTGTGATAATAAATCCATTGCAGGGAGTAAAAGGGAATATTTTAGTCATGACAAGACCATAACTGACTGAGAGTAGAGGGCTTTGGCAAATTCTGAAGTTTTTGTGTGTCTTTGCACAATTGGGTCGTATTCCATGGGTGCAATGTAGAAGTTTCTGTGAGTGTTGTTCAACCATCAGAGCAGTTCAAAAGTTTGTGTGGGGGAAGGCGTTGTTTAACCATCAATTAGCGTAATGCAGAAATTTCTGCGAACGAAGGCATCATGCAACAATAAGCCTTTGAAGCAGAGAGTGCTGTTCATGT